GATCTCATCTGATACTTTATTCACGAAGCCTGGGGTCTTTCTGGGGGGCAGGGAGAGTACTTTGGGGACGAGCAGAAAGATCATCTCTGATCCCGATTGATCACCCCCGTGCTGGGTGCACTCCAAGCTCACACTGCATGGTTCTGGACTTGACTGTGTTAGCAACTCCAAGGACACTTCTCTCCCCCCCCCCCCCGTCCCCAACAAGCAAGCAAACAACACTTTTCTCCCCGGATGCCATTCTTTCTGTCTTGTTTCATTGCTATGGATTTAGTGAACTAACCTGGGATTGTCGCTAAACCTCCAAGTTGTATGTAAAATATGTGTGCGCCCATACATGCATTTTTCAGAGGAGATTTATTTTATTTTATTTTCCCAAAGATCAAATAGCTAAAATCACAGCTTTGAACTTAATCAACTTGGCAAGTCTTGACAGTCTTCACTGTCACTGGATTGCAGATTCTTATTTAAAAAGAAGGCAATTGAGAGAAAAATTCTAGAGGCAACTAGAAATATTGAGGAGAGGGATTTTCTTCAGGAATCAAGGAGGACACCTCTCACTCAGTCACACCCTTATCTGGGTAAAGCATTGATCTGTTTTCCACCAGTACGAAATCAAATTAGTTTTCAAATATGTAGGCTAAGAAGTCAAAATAAGTCTTTATGAAAGAAAGGTCTATTCAAGTTTTTTCTTGACAACCCAAAGGGATCCCAGGGTCCTCTCCAAGGACTCTGGGGAAAAGGTAAGAGATAAAGTATTCTAAGTGAATACTTTCCTAGCTCACCGGCAGCTTGAGAAAGAAAGAGAAAATCCACTGTGACCTCAGTATTGGGGTAGCAATAGAAAAACCCAATGTGTGTGTGTGTGTGTGTGTGTGTGTGTGTGTGTGTGTGTATGTATGTGTGTGTGTGTGTTGGGGAAGGACTTGGGTATGCAGGGACATTGTTGAGTAAGGATCTTAACATATCCAACAGAACTTACCTGCAAAAGTAACAAGACACCTTAGAAAAATCACATTTGATATTGATTCTTTACTCATTCCCACTCAATGGGCAGGAATACTCCACAAAGTAGTATCTGCTGCCACTCAAATAGGTATCCTTTCTGATCTTGCCTTCTTTATCCACAGAATCCTTGAATCCTAATCTTTGAGGTTCATGGGTGTGCTGGCATTAGGATAGCGGTCCACAAACTGTGTTCCCAAAACACTGACATCCAGCAGCTAGCCTCAAACAATCACAAAGAAAAAAAAATACAGGCTAAGATTGTAAGCTTTTTCTTCACAAGGTCATTCCAACCTTTGATGCTTGCTTTTATTCATGTGGCGCTCAGCTCAGTTCACACTTAACGTATTTGGTTATGTCGAAGCTTAATACATCATTATTTCTGGCTTATAAAGAGCCCATTAGTTCCAGGTGGTCTGTAACCTTGCGTGTAAGAACTACTGCTGTGGCAAAATAAGGAATACACCGAGGGCTGTGCCACATTATTCTTTAATGTCCTTTGAGTTTAAGTGATTTGTTTGTGGACCATCTGGTGCTCTGGGTTGTGGCGGTGAATTACACAGGACCCTAGGGCTAGGGAGGAAAGAAGCTGCCTCATCCCACCTTGCTCATGGCCCAGACCGGTTTTTGTGTGCTGTTTTTAACATCACACTTATTTTGTAAACTCAAGCCATACTTTTGGCAAGGCTCATGGACGAGAACTTACATTGCTTTGTCACCTCCTCCCTTACAGTTGATTCGTTTGTCTTCAATAAGCCCAAGTTGAACTGTTACTTTTCACAACAATAAGGTGGTTGTTTCTCCCCACAAGGATTGTTGTTTAAAATGGCCCCTATAACATACCCAAGGGTATATTTGGCAATGACAGGAATTGTAATTATTCTCTTTATTTCAAAAGTCATTAAAGAACTCAGTTTTTTAATTTTAATTTTTTTAGTTAGAGTCTCACTCCTTCACCCAGGCTGGAGTACAGTGGCACACACGCTCACGGCCACCCCAGCGTCGACTTGCTGGGCTCCGGCGATCCTTCTGCCTCTGCCTGCCAGGTAGCCAGAACTACAGATGCACGCTACCACACCCGGCTATTTTAAATTTTATTGTAGAGATGAGGTCTCGCCAAGTTGCCCAGGCTGATCTCGAACCCGCGGGCTCAGGCAATCCACTCTCCTCCACCTCCCAAAGTGCTAGGATTACAGGCTGAGCCACAGAACCCGGCCGAAAATATTTTTTTAAAAATTGCATTTGTAATGAACACATACAGACTTTTTTCCTTGTCATTTTCTAAACAAATACAGTATAACAGCTATTTATATAGCAATTATGTTGTCTTAGGTATTATAAATAATCTAGAGATGAATTAAAGTCTGGGAGAGGATGTGAATAGGTTACTGCATATACAACACCATTTTATATTAGGGACTTACATATCTTTAGATCTGGGTGTCTGAGGAGGACCTGGAATCAATTCCTCTCAGATACCAAGGAATGACTGTACAATGTTTGATTTTTCCATCCTTCTGGGATAACGTCTAACTCATCTTTGTAATTAATGGGCACTTATGGTTTCCCTCTTGCCTACTCATTGTAAGAGGCTGCCCAGCCCTGCAATAAGATTGCTCCAGTCTATATCCTGGTTCACCATGAACCAGCTGTGTGACCAGGAGCACATCACTGCCTTCTCTGTGCCTCAGTTTTCTCATCTGTAAACAGAACAATCATAGTACCACCTTACCGGTTTTTGCGAATATTAAATGAATATTTATATATGCAAGACACTTAGAGTAGTGCTTTGTACATGGGAGGCACTATTATGTTTTATTATTAGCTATTTTTCCTTTCCAGCCTCATCTTCTGATGCCACCTAACATTGCAGCCATGCCGAGCTCAATGCCTTTGCTCACACCATTCTCTTTGTCTGGGATACCTTCCTCAATTGGAAACAAACTCTTACTTTTATTAAATTCAGCTTAAAGGTTTCCTCCTTAGTGACTTTCCTTTAGTGCTTTCTCTCATTTTCCAGGTATCTATTCCCTCCTTTCTTTGTGATCTCAGTAGCCTTGTACCAATCAGCTATCAAATGACTTACTGATTGCCAACTACCTAACATTTACTGAGCACTTATTATGTGTCTGGTATGGTGCAGAGTGTTTTTCTAGCTATTTTTTGATACACAGACAGTTCTGTGATATGGACTTATATTTTGTTAAACTAAATCTCTGTGCTCATTTCCCCCTGCTGAATGTGAGAGTGGCTTATACATCCGTGTGTGTTCCTCAGATTGTATCTCTAGGACCTTGCAGAGTACCTAATTAATAATGGGCACTCCATAACTGTGTAAATGGATACACTTTACCAACAGTTATTTACATCCAAAGAATAAGCTAATTATAAGTAACTCTTCTTTTAGCCTATGTGCCTTTCTCAATGCAAAAACTCACATTCAAATTTTTTTAAAACTGCTAATAAGCAAGAAGAAAGAAGCTAAAATTGTACTCCTCCCAGCCCTAAAGAGCTTAAACAACTCATTTAGGGACACACAACCACTAAATGGTTAAACTAAGCTCTTAACTGCTGTGTTATACTACTTACTAGTCCCACCTCCCCAAATACACACATATCCCTACACCAAAGACAATGCTAGCTATTAAAATGAATTGGAAGAGCTGAAATTTGAAATTAAATCTACCACAAATACAATGTGGCAATGCATGAAGTCCACATTTTAAAAATTCACAGTATTCAGTCTTTTCCTGTCTTTACATGTCCTGTTCCCTCGGTTATTTAGAGTAATCCTGATGAAAATACAGATTGAGAGGCAGCCCTGAGAGGTCAGGTAGACAGAGAGTCAAAGTCAGAAAAACCTGAGTTTGGATCCCAGCAAAGCCCTAGATGAGATACCAGAGGCAAGCTGTAACCCATCGCTCACTCTTAGTCTCTTTTGTGAAAAAAAGTTAGTAAGAAATACTTTTCTGATCTTCCATATGACTCAACAATTCCTCTATTGGGAATATACCCAGAGGAACTCAAATCATTCTACAAAAAAGATGCCTGCACACGTATGTTTGTTGCAGCTCTATTCACAATAGAAAAAACATGGAACCAACCATGCCGCCCATTCAAGCTGGACTGGATTAAAAAAATGTGGTGCAAATACACAATGGAATATTATGCAGCCATAAAGAAGGACAAACATATGGACTTCGCAGCAACTTGGATGGATTCAGAGTCAATCATACTCAGTGATCTATCACAGAAACAAAAAACAGAGTCCCATATGTTCTCACTCATAAGCAGAACTTGAACAATTATCATAATACTATATAATACTATAAGAAAGGAATTGGCAGTAGTGGGAAACTGCCTGGGGGGAGTGTAATTGGTAGTTGAGAGAAACCGCTGGGGAGGGAGGGCACACCTCATGAACAAGGGTACCTGCATAATCAGTGTCTGTATACCTAACCCTGAATTGTACCCCACAGCTTTATAATAATTTTAAAAAATACTTTTCAGCATTTTGTGAAATTTCAAAGTGACATAATGGTGACATACATCACACTTGGTTAATGGTAGGTCTTGTTGTTACGTCTCTAATGGTGACACCCTATGGCTTGCCCACGTAGGGACCGGGCCAAATTGTTTTCCAAAGCCCACACATGGCTTTCCCCACCTCCCTTCCCCTTCCCCCCACCACAAATCCTTCATTTTAATTCTCATGGTAATTTAACTTTTATATTTTTATTAGATGCATTTAGTAACTTGCCTCCCAGTCATTTTCTTGGAAATTCAATCTCTTCTCCATGGGGTCTCTTGAGATTAAAGAGAAAGAAGTGGCAAATTTGGAGTGTTAGAGCCATTTTCATTTAAAAGTATATCCTTATTTTTGTTACTCTGTCATTAATGTTTTCTGTTTTCCCTTATCAGCAAGTTATTTCTCGTTTGACATGTATTGCCAAACTGAACTCTCTTGTTTTCTTGCAAGATGAGAGAAGGCAACCATGAATGAGCCACTCGACAATTTAGCAAATGCTTCTGCTTTCCCCGATTATGCAGCTGCTTTTGGAAATTGCACTGATGAAAAAATCTCATTCAAGATGCGCTACCTCCCAGTTATTTACAGCATTATCTTCCTCATGGGCTTTCCAGGGAATGCAGTCGCGATCTCCACTTACATTTTCAAAATGCAGCCCTGGAAAAGCAGCACCATCATCATGCTGAACCTGGCCTGCACAGATCTGCTGTATCTGACCAGCCTCCCTTTCCTGATTCACTACTACGCCAGTGGGGAAAACTGGATCTTCGGGGATTTCATGTGCAAGTTTATCCGCTTCAGCTTCCATTTCAACCTGTACAGCAGCATTCTCTTCCTTACCTGTTTCAGCATCTTTCGCTACTTTGTGATCATTCACCCGATGAGCTGCTTTTCCATTCACAAAACCCACTGGGCAGTGGTAGCCTGTGCTGTGGTGTGGATCGTTTCGCTGGTGGCTGTCATCCCCATGACATTCCTGATCACATCCACCACCAGGACCAACAGATCTGCCTGCCTTGACCTCACCAGTTCGGATGACCTCACTACTATTAAATGGTACAATCTAATTTTGACTGCAACCGCTTTCTGCCTCCCCTTGGTGATAGTGACACTTTGCTACACAACAATCATCTACACCTTGACCCAAGGACCTCAGACTCACAGCTACCTTAAGCAGAAAGCTCGAAGGCTAACCATTCTGCTACTCCTTGTGTTTTATGTATGTTTTTTACCCTTCCATATCTTGAGGGTCATTCGGATTGAATCTCGCCTGCTCCCAATCAGCTGCTCCATCGAGAACCAGATCCATGAAGCTTACATCGTTTCCAGACCCTTAGCTGCCCTGAACACCTTTGGGAACCTGTTACTGTACGTGGTGGTCAGTGACAACTTTCAGCAGGCCGTCTGCTCCATGGTGAGATGCAAAGTGAACGGAGACCTCGAGCAGGCAAAGAAAATCAGTTACCCCAACCACCCTTGAGCTTCATTTACTTAGCCGAAAGAAAATCATTTACCCCAACAACCCTTGAAATGCATCATTTACTCAACCACAAACATAAGGTTGCTGATCATTTACTTTACACTTGTGAGAAGTCCAGACTATCTCCCTCAGGAGAACCTCTAGTAAATACTGTATACTCAAGTAATTATGTGACAAAGCCAGGGCAGGGGGTATTCGGAGTTCTTTGCATCTCTCTGTTGAGATCCTCCCTTGAGTAGATATAAGGGTGGGAGGCATGCATATGGGTGAAGCATTCATACATAGACTTACAAATGGCTAGAACTCAGGGGCATCTTAGAGAACATCTGTCTCCGTCAACTTACCGTATATGCATGGAAAATGAAGCCCTGGATCTCTCAGTAAATGAGTGCCAAGGTACGAGGAAACCAGTCTTTTCATTCACTGTTTCATGCTCCTCCATACTCTAGTGCCTGTTTGCATTGAACCACTAGACAGCTAAAACCATGACTTGTGTCTTTAAGAACATTTTAAAAAACTTTCTTATCTTTACAAGTTGTTTTCTTCAAGTTTTGCTTTGAGAATATGAAACTAGGTTTTTTGCTAGGCGTTAGTGAGTTCTGTAGGCTAAAGCAAGCTAGTAAAACATATTTGAAATAATTCAAGGATGTCAACACAAAAAGTTGAAATGAGTACCTGTAGGATATTTAGCGTGCTATGTCTTTATTGTTGTAGACCATTTTAGAAGTTGTTATTAAATTTTTATTTTTAAAAATGCAATTGTTTTTGTAATTATCAACACATCCTGGGAAAGGAGGAACACTTTTGGGGAGCAGAAGTACTTACAAATATCATGTTTGTATTGAATGTTAAATCAGATCTAACATTGTTTTAATTTTTGTGGGAAAACGTTCTCGGAGACACTAATTCTCTTTAGATAGCTTGCTCTATTTTAATAGCTAAAGCTATTTTTGAATTTTACGCATGTATAATTTTCAGTAAATGTAAATATTTGAGAAAAAGCCAGGTCTAGATATTTAAAACCCTGGTAAATGTGTTGCTACAGTTAATAAACTTATTTAAAAGCACTGAGTTGGCTGATGGGCATATTTTTTTATGTGAAAATACATCTTTATCACGATTATATTTTCATGAAACTTATTTTCTCCATGGTTGGAGAACAAAGGTAAGTTTAAGACTCGGTTACAGAACACAGGAGAAAGCAGAGAAAAGGGTACTATAGGAATTCCCTTTCTCTCCCCATCTCTATTCCTATTCCTTATTTGAGAACATGGCTTTCCAGTTCTTGTAGGCCATTGCATCTGGTCCAAACCTTTGAGAACATGACTTTCCAGTTCTTGTAGGCCATTGCATCTGGTCCAAACTTTTGAGAACATGGCTCTCCAGTTCTTGTAGTCCATTGCATCTGGTCCAAACTTTTGAGAACATGACTTTCCAGTTCTTGTAGGCCATTGCATCTGGTCCAAACTTTTGAGAACATGGCTCTCCAGTTCTTGTAGGCCATTGCATCTGGTCCAAACTTTTGAGAACATGACTTTCTAGTTCTTGTAGGCCATTGCATCTGGTCCAAACTTTTGAGAACATGACTTTCGAGTTCTTGCAGGTCATTGCATCTGACTTAGACCTAAGAGAGGATGCTCATCAGGGGCCTCTGTAGAGCATGTTGGAAGAGAAAAAGGAAGTCAATGCCTCTGAACGTGAACTTTCCTGGGTGATGGTGCTTTCTCCAACCACCACCTTCTGAGGCTTTCTGTAACTAGAAGACCCAACTTGCTCACGTGCCTTGACTATACAGATGGACAAGTATCCAGAGGTCCACTTGGAACTCAGGTAACTCTCTGAGCTATCACTGAAGTGCAGTCCGATGATCCTTCATGCCATGGCTGTTGGTATTCTAGCCTCAGGCACAATCCCGTTTGCTTTCTTTACCCGTCTCTATTCCTTCTTATTTCAAAGAATTCACCCGCCAGAGAAAAGCCACCTCTACCTTCTTCATGTCTTTCTCAACCCGGCTCTGTAGTTTCTTTTATCCTTTGCCTCTTGCCGCCAAAGTACAGAAAAATAAATCACCTCTCTTTGTGACACGAATTCTTCTACCGTATCTATGGTCTTGATTTTGCCCTCGGAGGGACCTTGCTCCAACACTTAATCCCACTTTCTCAAATTTTTTAACATTTTTATTACCCCAGATAATTGACCTTAGCTTGGGAGCATGCATAATTTTCCATTATCCTCAAAATGTCTTCTCTCGATTCAGCTTTTCTGTCATCCTATTACCTGACCTGCTTCCCGCAATATGGGTTAGGTGCGGATGGTAGTCTGCCCTCCAGGGTTCTGCCAATTGAACATAATCACAAAGATCCAAACTAAATTGAATTCCAAGGGTCAATTTTATTTTCCAAAGTGAAGAGTTCTGGGCTAATTGTGCTGGAGGATGCAGTTTTGAACTGAGGCCCAAAAAAGGGATGGATGATATTTCTCAGACTAGATAGGACCTGCGTGACCTTGCCTCATAAAACTACTCACAGGCAAAGAAAGAAAGTATAAGAACAAAAAAAGCAGAGCTCTGATTGTGTCTGCCAGGGAGACGGAGCTGCCAGGGTCTGATCACTGTGTAAGGACCGGAAATGCAAGTCTGTCTTGCTGCATCTGAGTACAGGGAAGAAAAACCTGGTCAAAACTTCTGAGAGATAATAATTCTTCCACTTTGTTTTTAAACTTTGCATTGTGGAAAGTTTCAGTCACAAAATTAGAATAAGTAGCAAAATGACTTCATACAACATGTCTCAATTTCACAAATAGTCAACATCTTACCATGCTTTCTTTCAGAATCACTTTTCACACTTCTTTTGTTGTAATATTTAAAAGTAAATCCTAGACAAAAGAGTTCTACCTATAAATGCTTCAACATGGATCTCTTTCGAAACATACAAAACTAGAATGAAATAAAAAATGATTCCTTAATATTATGCAGTACTAATCTGTGTTTCATTTCCCATTTGCCTCAAAAGCATGCTTTTGTATTTTTGTTTTTTTATTTTCTTTTCAAAATCAGGATTCAAATAAGATCTATTTATTGCATTTGATTGCTGTGACTCTTATAGTTACTTTAATCTATTTGAGTTGCCTCTCCCTTTATTCACTGCTGTTAATTTACTAAAGAAATCAAGTCGTTTGCCCTGTATAGTTTTCCCATTGTGGGTTTGACTGTTTTGGTTTCATTTTGTGGTTTATCACGTTTCTCTTATTCCCACATTTGCTGTAATGTGGGAGGTAGAGCTAGAGGTTAGATTAGATGCAGAGGTTTTTTTTCCTTCCTTCCTTCCCTCTCTCTCCCCCTTCCCTTCCTCCCTTCCTCCTTCATTCCTTCTTTCTTTTCTTTTTCCAAGAACACTAATCCACCTCAGAAGGTGCTTATGTCTGCCCTGTGCTTAGCAATTGAGCAGGGGTTTCAAAATGCATCGTCCTGATTTTTCTGTCATAAAATTCCCCAGTTTCCTTTGCCTTCACAGCTTTATGTCTAGTTTTGTCAGTTGCTTATTGCTGTTTTGATCCACTAGGAGATGTTAAAAATTCTAACATTCCTCTACTTTTATTATTTTTAGCTTTTCTAGACAGAAGATCTTTGACTCATAGAGTATTTCTTACATTTTCATTCTCAACGTGATTCCCACCGATCAGATTTAGCTACTCTTTCTCCTTTGGGAAGGCACAAGAAAGGGATGGGGGAGAAAATGTGGAAGCTGCCTCCTAGCACTTTCTCCATGAGACTACACGTGTGGACAGAATTTTGACAAGGTTTTCTTTCACTATGGACCAAGTTTTTGTTCTTGTAACTCTATGGGGTTAACAGCCAAGCTTATGATCCTCAGGACTGGAGTGACTCACTTGGGGAAGGAGATTATCAGGGGAGATGATTTTTTGCAACACTTCTCCTCCAAACCCACCTTGGTGCCTTTGTAACCCCTTGGACCAGTGCAGACATTTAGATTTTCCTCCAGAAGCCTCTAAGAAGGGCAGAAGATGTTAATTAACTCCAAGGCCATGTAGCACCTGAGGTCAAACATTCTCTTCTGTTTTAATTTTATTAAATCCTATCCAGTAACATCATTTAATGTAATCTATCTGATATTATACAATGAGCTCAAATGTTGTCATATGATACAATGCAACATAAAAATGCTTGAAGGGTGAGCGCTTCTTCCATTGTTGAGTCCCAGGAAAAAACTAAATTGTAATATGTGCTGATCTGTCTTATAAATTCTACTTTCCTTCCATGCTTCTGTCTGCATGTTTCTATTGATCTGTCTTTTGTTTCATTAATCCTGCCTTGTACCGTATACTGTATTAAACACATTCATTGAATTCTTAACTTCAGATTTTGTGTTCCTTAATTTATAGAATTTTGCATTTCCTAGTCTCTTAATCTATTTTGTCCACCTTCCTATATTTTCCTGAACCAAATAATCAGAGTTATTTTAAAGTTCTTATCTGTCCTTCCAATATCTGAATTACCTTTGGGTCTACTTCAATTGTCTGACATTTATTTCATGTTTACTGGTCATATGACCTTGTCTTTTTGCATATCTATTATTTTTTTTTATTGAATGACAGAAATGACATATGAAAAAATAAAAAGATCTCCCCTGAGAGATTTACTTTTCCTTCAGCTGGGAAAATAAACTTGAAAATGTACTTCTTTACATTGTAACTAGGGACTAAACTGGGTTGTGACTAGGCTTCACTTTTGTTGCAGTTCAGTAAACCTCTCCTTGGCCTTTCTTTACTAGCAATTTATTAGTGTCTTTAAATTTAATGTGTATCTCTTATAGATAGTTCTTGAGTTCTGTTTTCTATCCAAACTAACAATCTATGCCTTTTAATTGGAGTATATTCAATGTGCTTATTGATAGGATTAGATTCAAGTCTACCATCTTGCTGTTTTCTTCCCCATTTGTCTCTTCTTTGTTGTTTCTTTGTTGCTTCTCTTCAGTGCTCTT